TTGGAATACTAATTGGGGAGCCTTTGCTGTGCAGAACAACTCAAAACATCTTTGTTTAGCATGAGCCAAACAGGGAAATTCAAGACTTCAGGAAGCCCCCCCAGTGGGATGAATAAGAGCATATAAAGCAAAAGGCTCAAAGTCTGCTCATGTTTACTGTGATGTAAATCCTGTGTAATTGATCCCAGTAAAGAGCAGAATGTGGCTCAGTATTAACAAAGGGGTTTCCTGCAGACTAATAATAACCAACATACAGAAAAGTGTGGAGTGTCTCACTGCACCGTTTTTCTGCTTTAATATTTCAGGGATTGATACAGGCTGAAATACATAGAAATACATAGAAATGACAGTGTCACTCTGAATTTGCAATGTCTGGAGACGAGGTGAGAGGCAGGACCTCGGGCAGGAATAACGACATTGCTGGTGCTCGAGCACAGCGCGGATTGGAGGTTTGATCATGGAGAGATTTCAGTTCATGAAGTCAAAGTAAAAGGCCGCAAATTATTGTTCAGCCAGTTCCACCAGAAAACAAGGTGAAGCAGACCTGATGAGATTTTCCTTGTAAGCAGAATGTCTGCTTTCTGGTAGTTATCTGAGATGCCGTTCCAGAGCAACAGACTTCACACAGGACTGATTTGTTGCACTAAATTGGACACAAACCCAGAAAAGACAATGGCATTATGTCCTTCTCCATCAAATACTGTTACAAAGTGCAGACACCTAAAATGCTAAGCAGAAAACAGTGTTTCTGTAATGAAGCAGGACCCCCCAAACAGTTAAATGCTTAGAATTAACATTGCTGGAAAAATATTTCTACTGACTTGTATTGCTGTTAAGGTCAGCTTGCAGCCAACCATTTCAGTAAGATGAACAGATGCACTTCTGCTCTCTTCTGAGTGCCTGAGCACGGTGCTTCCACCACCTTTGAATAGCACAGAGTTTGTTTGATTGAGTTTTCTTCCAAGATTCGGGAGCACAACAGCTCCAGACCCAGAAGTGAATACGAGCAGAGCTGTGTGCTCATCATGTCTTCTTCCAGGAGAGCTCAGTGAAAGGATGGAAGTCATCAAAATGGTCAAAACACGAGTCTGATGTGCAGAGCCCTGTTTTTCGGAGTGGTGTTTGATGCTGAGCACACAATTTGTACAAGTGCCCTCATGTTTGCTGTAAGGAGCAGAGCTGTCTCTGATTTCTCAGTGCTGCAGTTCCTGCAGGGCCTCCCCCTCAAAGCTCCTGAACTCCGAGACTGTGCTCTCGTGGGAAGAGTCAAAGCCTGATCTGTGAGCTCGCATAAATATGGGGTTAAACGCCTTGATTAACATTTAAAAGGGCCCTCACATCTGTCGGGCCTTCCCACAGCTGCTGCATTTTGGCAGCATTGTCTGCTGCTTCCCATCCACGGGGCAGGACAGCGTGCTCTGCTCAGCCGAACTGCAGCATCCAGCACAGAGCTGAGGTTTGGAGCAGTGTCACAGAGAGCTTTCTGCTCGGGCTGCCAGTGTCCTGGCATGCTACACGGGTTAGACACTCTGCAGCGACAGCTGTTTTCACGTGGGTAGCAGTGTAATGTTTTGTTCACCAAAACCAGCAAGGCAGTAGCTGTAATTGAGTCACCCATTCAGCCCTAACGTGGCACAGAACCTGAGATTTGCACTGTAGAAGTATTATCCATGGAGCATTTTTTTTAAAAACAAACTTTGCCCTTTTTATCATTCACCTTCGGGAGGGCTGCAGCACTGCAGATCTCATTTCCATGAGGTCCAAAGCGTTCTCCCCTTGGTTTACTTTCATTTCATGACTGTATCTTCCAGACAGGGCAGGATTCTTTCTCTTCTGTGAGGGAGGAAACAAGGGAAACTGACCAGATAAAACAAACTCATCTTTGTCAATCTTTCACATTTCATTCATTCAAAGTCCCAAGAATGAACTGTGAGTGAGCTGGGGACATGTGGGCTTTGTGTCCCTTCACTTTGATGGGGCTGAGATGCACAGCACAGCCCTTAACTATTGTCTGAGGAATGGAGTTTTGAGTACGCACACAAATTAGCTAGATTAAACTTCATTTGTGTAAATCACAGTGCTGTCAGTCACAGCTTGTTGTGAGTTTGTCCTCTTCATTTGTAAAGATCTCATGTGATGGGCCTGAAGAGGAGGTCCAGCTGCCCAATGGTGTCACGGTGAGGCACTGGTTTGTCCCTGCCAGCACCATCCCAGTGTGCATAGACGGAGCTGCAGGAAGATTTTCTTATGAGATACACTGTGGAGAATGACAATTCTGAAGAGTGAGAACAATGACTCTTTGGCCTGGCTTAAGTTTAAGGTGTTGTTGCCCAGCTCCTGCTCCTCAGCCTGGCTTCCTAAGGATAGGGATGTGTCTGCACCCAGCCCACAGCCCAGGTTCCACCAGGTAGTTCCAGCAGTGACAGTCAGCTCCTGGAGGGGCAGGAGAGGAGGCTGGGGCTCGGTGAGATGCAGGGCTGCAGCAGGCCGTGGTGTGAGTGGGTGATGTGCTGGGATGTGTCTGCCCCACTGGGCAATTAGAGCTCCCAGACAAACCTCCGCCAGGAAAAGAACCTGTCTGAGGAGCTCAGACCTGTGATGGCTTTGTTACAAAGATCTGCAGAGGCAGATGTAGGCAAATTTGTTCCGTCGGTGGCTTTTGCTAAAGTAGGGCTGTTCCAGTGGCTGGCTTCATTCTTGTAACAAGCAGGAAAAGCCCCAGGGCTGCCACAAATTGACAGGAGGACCGTTAGGGGGATGTGAAGGAGATGGCAGTGCTGTGACAGCCGTGGAGCTGGGGGCTGCACCACTGACCCCTGCCAGACCAGCACAGCCTGCCCAGCCTGCAATAATTGCTCTGGTAGGGTGGCTGTGGAACACCAACAGCTGCAAATACACCACCCAGTATTTTTCCCTTACTGAGAAATAGATCCATGTAGTTTATGTACAATTACAGTAGTTAGCTAATAGATGTCTTCTTAAAAAGCAATCAAACATCATTAAGCAATTAAACACAATTGCGCGGTTGCACGGCAGTTATATGCAGGTGCAATTCAGATTCACCAATGAGCACCATATGCTACCAAATAAACAAAAGGCTTTGACAGAGCTAAGTGCTCCTGTCTGGGAGCCACACTTACACTGGCTCGGTGTCCCAAAGCAGTTTGTTTCAGCCCTGCATGGCTGCTCCTGCAGCCCTCCTTCACACAGGTGCATGTGCTGCCAAGCAGTTACACCCGCAGTGTGGGAGGGGTTCTCCAGAACTGCTGCAGTGTTTGGGATCAGCATCGCTGCTGGGGGGACCTCTGGCTGTGCTTCACCCCTGTGTTTGTTTATCCCATAGGTGCCTGCACCGATTCTGCAGCCCATGGCAGGTTTAGAAAGCTGAGAAGTGAATCTGTTGATAACAAAATTCTAAAGCCCTGGTGTTGGTACAGCAGCCCTCCGTTAACACTGGGCATTGAGCAGCATGGGAGCCAACAGCAGAACTGTCAGAGCTCAAATTGTTCAGAAGAGTTCCATCTGTGCTGAAATAATGGGACAAAACGAGAATCAAAGGTTATGGACTTCGATATCAGCATATATCTGATAGGAGTCACATACCCGATCCCAGCTCCACCCCATACAAGCACCTATATTGGGGTGACACAGATGAGCCAAATGGTCACTTCCACATTTTATGCACAAAGAAGTCAAATCCCAAACGTCCATTTTGAGTTCCACTTAAACGCAATGTCTTAACGCACTCAGTTACGTGGGAGCGCCTGCGCAGAGCTGTGTGTGGCACACTGCGGGCCCTCGTGGAGATTCTGCAAGCCAGGAAGGCCTGGGATGTGCTCTGTGGATCTGCAGAATGCCTTAACCCCACCCAGGGGGCAGCGTGGGGCACAGAACCGCCTCCAAACTGAGATCCCCCTTAACTCAGACCCCGGTCCTGTGTGTGTGCGGCACAGGGTCCAGCTGTTGGTTAGACTTCCTTATGGTGTTTTCTTTAATGAGAAAGCTGTACAGGACAGGTCCACGTGTAAATAAGGGATTACGTTTATGTAGATGTTAATATTTACATGTAAAAAGTTATGTACATAGGAAAGAAAATAATGGCTCAAAGAATGTTTTAAAAATAGTTTCTTCTGTCTAAAGGCACAGAAGGACAGCGACACAGACGTGCTGCTGAGCTCAACGTAAGCTCAGCTTCGTGCTCGGCTTGGGGATGCTCAGGGCTCAGTCCTGGGGGCTGAGGGGCTCTGGGCAGCCCTGCTCCAAACGGTGGAGGGACACACACTGAACGTGTTGCCCACTCACTGCTGCTCTGCTATGGCAGCCTTATTTCACCTACCGGAGTTTGGAAAGAGCGTGCAGTGTGTTATCAGCAGCACAGGGAGCTTCTGGAGGAATGCCAAAGGAGTCAAGGTGCTCCCAGTTCGGGTACTGCAGCGCTGGGCAGAGGCACGGCCTGGGCTGGACTGATGCAACACAGCTGAACTAAGAGCCACTCGGATCTCAGCTCACCTGGCTGCAGGAGCGTGGCGTCAGTGAGTGCCGTGCTCCAGCAGCACCCCAGCTTTCAGCGCATCCCCGAGTGCCTTACGCAGCTCCTAAACGGAGCCACCGGCAGCCCAGGGGCTCAGGAATCTGTGTTGTGAATAGTGCAGCACAGCCTGTACTGATGCGTGGTATGTTTGCTAGAAAGGAATGCTGAACATCGAGGCGAACCAGAGAAAGTGGTTCCCCCGGCCGCTGCGCTGTGTGCTGTGCTCTGTAACCTCCAGCAGCCACATCCCGAGTGCAGAACGTTGGGTCGGTGCCGCGGCAATGACTGCTGGGCCCAAGGCGGGGCTGCATCGATCAATTACAGAATTTTACACATATTTTTGTATTGTGATTCATATGATATATATCAAGAGACTTTCTATTCATTTGTAAAATACATAAATTATTGTAAACTTTTAATAAAAAGAGCTGTTTTAAACCTTAAAATCGGTGAATTGTTTTCTCCCGGCTGCAGGTGGAAGCCTGGCATTACTCACGGGCACTTCGCTCACCCTTTCCATTATGCCCTCATTTTAAACAGCTGAAGTTCCACCTGACCCATCGATGATACCCGGAACAAAACCCGCACCCGCAGCGCAGCCCCTCCTGCCGGGCTCAGCGCCGATCTCTGCAGTTCTCCAGCCGCTGACCGCTACCCCGCGAAGCCTCGGGCGGAGCCCCCAGCAGCGCGGAGTTCCGTGCCCGTCCGCAGCATCCCGGGGCACGGCGCTGCCGTCGCTGCGGAGTGCCGCCCGCGGCGGGGGGCGGCGCGGAGAAGCGCCGGGCGCGGTGGGGGCCGCTCCCAGAGGACGGGCCGCGGCCGTCGGAGGTGGGCGCTGAGCGGCTGCGGGCGCTCCTCCCGCGCGGTGCCGCCCGGTGCCCGCCATGGCAGAGCGGAGCGCCGAGCCGCTGCCCGCCTGCTTCGCGGGGCTGGGCGCGGGCAGCCCTCGGCCGCGGCAGAAGCGCGGCGGGATGTTCTGCAGCGTGGAGGACGCCTTCGACAACAAGACGTTGGATTTTCCCTCGCTCGGCGGCGGCGGCGGCTGCGGTCGGTCCCGTGGCTCCGCGACCCCGTCCGACGGCAGCAGCAGCCCCGCGCCGCCGCCGCCGCCACGCTCTCCGGGGGCCGCCACCGCGGGTCGAGATGTCGGGACGTCCGACGGCTGCCGGCAGGTGCGTGTGTGTGTGTGTGCGTGGGGCCGGCCGGGGCAGCCCCTCCGCTCTGTCTTGTGCCGTCGGGCAAGCCTCGCGCGGGGGCCTCGGCGGGGCGGCCAGCACGGCACCACCGGGCAGTGCGGGTGCCGGGAACGGAGCTACCGCTCGGGCCGGTTCTGACGGAGCCACCACCGCGGCCGCGGAGCCGCTTCCGACGGCAGCAGCGGGCGCGTGGCCCCGGCGGGCGGGGGGAGCCGGCGGCGGGGGGCGCGCAGGCGCGGGGCCGCGCACGACCGGGCGCGACGCAGACACACGGAGCGGCGGAAGATGTCGAACCCGGGCAAGAAGAGCGGCCCTCGTGGCACGGTGAGGGGCTCCGGAGGGGGTGGGGGCGGGCTCACGCCGTCCCGCAGCGGGAGCGGAAGAGCCGGGCTTGGCCGCGCGTCCCGGCTGGGAGCTTTCGGCTCCTTCGGGAGAGCGCTCCGCAGCGCTGGGGCCGTTCGGCCCGAACCGCGACCCCCCGGCCCCGCATCTCGGCTTCGGGCGAGGGGCCCTTCGGTGGCGGCGGCCTCGCGTGACCCGCTGTGACTCGGAGCTCCGGCTCTGCGCCTTTGTCTGCCCGGCGGCCCCGCACACAAAGCCGCGCTCCGCGCACAAAGGCGACGGCTCCGCTCCCCGAAGCGCCCCGAGCCCCGCGATGCCCCGCGCCTCATCCCGCGCCCGAGCGCTGCGGGAGTCCGGCGGAGATCCTCCGCCTGTTGTCGCCGCTCTGTTTGGGAGCGCTCCGCCAACCGGCGCCGGCGCTGCTGCTGTAGGAGGGGATTCCCTGCTCCTATTGCCGGGGCTTCCGAGCAGAAGTGAGGGAAATCTCCAGACAGCGACATTGCCTTTTCTTTTTTTTTCTTTTTTTTTCTTTTTTATCTTTTATTTTCCCGCCGGCTCACCCCTGCGGTCCCCGCACACATCGCGCTGTCTGAGCGCAGCCGAGCGGATCGGAGCCGCCATCCCGGCCGGGGGCGGGGATTTGCGCCGTGCCCGTGGGGCAGCCGGCACAGCTCCTCGTGATTGATGTTATGGGACGCGCACGAACAATAGCGATGCGATAAATGCGTTTTCCGAAAGGCAGCGCAGTTGCTCGTGGTTCCTCCGTGCGCCGAGGCGGTCCCTTTCCCCGCACCCCGACGTGTTTGCAGGCCGTCCCGCAGCAGCACTCAATGCTGGGGAGGTCGCAGCCCCGTGTGCATCCCTCGCTGTGTTTGTGCCCCCAGCACCGCCCATTGCAGCCTCGCTGATATTCGTTAATATAGCAGAGGGTCGGAAAGGAGCCCTCTAATTATGCTGCAGCTCTCTAATATTTCTGGTTAAAGATCCCATCAGTCTGACAGCAGCGCGCAGCCTTACTTTGAAGGGAGGAAAGGCCTCGAGGCGTTACCACCTCCACCGAGACTGGAAAAGCTAATTATGTCAATAAATTAGCAGGTCAATGAGATGCACTTAGCGGTGCTTGCAGCCCCCAACCCCACATCTCACCGTGAGCAGCATCCACGGGAAGAAATCCTACATTTGTTTTTTGTCCACTTAGAGCGAGCAGCTTCTGATCAAGGGCGGAAAGATCGTCAACGACGACCAGTCTTTCTATGCCGACGTGTATGTGGAGGATGGCTTGATAAAGTAAGTGAAGTTCTGTAATGTCGCTGCCAGGCCGATCCCAGTGCTGTTTAATTTTTACAAAGTTTCTGTCCACGGGGCTGGGCTGGATGTTCATCTGAATGCTGTGTTCAGACAGATTGGAGAGAACCTGGCTGTTCCCAGCGGGGTGAGGACGGTGGATGCCTACGGGCAGCTGGTGGTGCCGGGCGGCATCGATGTGCACACGCGGCTGCAGATGGCTGTGATGGGGATGGCCTCTGCTGATGACTTCTACCAAGGCACGAGGGCAGCCCTGGCAGGAGGAACCACGATGATAAGTAAGATGGGCAGCGCTGAGCTGGGCACTGTGCAGGCCTTTGTCATGGCTTTGTTCTCCTAGCAGAGAAATGTTCATTTTTTCTGTAGTAACCAAAGCATTAAAAAGCAAAGTAGAATGCATGATGTGCTTCTCAATAACCTCCTTTTGTAATACATGTATATTGAACACGCTTAGCTGTTCCTGCTTCACCTCATAGAACCACAGAACCATTAACGCTGGAAAAGCCTTCTGAGAGCCCCCCACCCCACAGTCCCACTGCCCACGTCCCTCAGTGCCACATCCCTGCAGCTCTGAACACCTCTGTGGACAGGGACTGCCCACCCCTGGGCAGCTGTGCCAGCGCCCGGCTGCTCTCTGGAGAACAAATTGTTCCTAATACCCAACTTGAATCTCATGACAATAGAATAGAAGAAAACGTTAATCACCATTTCATATATTTTTAATAGCTATACAGCTATATTTATAAATTTATCAGCTCTATGAGTGCGGGATCCACTTTGTTACATATGTCAGTTTTGATTTCTATTTGTTCTTGTTCTGATCCCAAAGCCCACAGCAGCACTTGCCTGAAGGGAACTCAGCAAGCCCTGCCCCAGCTCCGTGCATCCATCCATCCACCCGTGGTGTGGAGTTGCCCCATCCCTGCAGACAGCCCAGGCAGGGATGGGCTCTGAGCACTGTCAGAGCTGTGGCTGTCCCTGCTCACTGCAGGGGGTGGCCTTTGGAGGTCCCTTCCAACTCAAATGGTTCTGTGATTCCATGTATATGGATTCCTATTGGGGTGTCTCCTTGGGGCGGTGGCTGCGCTGACCCCAGGAGCTCCTGCAGCCACACACAGCTGTGCCCAGGCAGCCCCCCAGCACCCTGTGGTGTCTTTCAGTGGACCACGTGCTGCCCGAGGCTGGGACCAGCCTGCTGGCTGCCTACGAGCAGTGGCGGCAGCGTGCTGACAGCAGGGCCTGCTGCGACTACGGGCTGCACATCGACATCCCCCGCTGGCACGAGGGCCTGCAGGAGGAGCTGGAGGCGCTGGTGAAGGACAAGGGTAAGGGTCTGGGTTCTGACTTAAAGAAACTATTCAAACACAAACGTTGGAGGCTGGGCTCGCGGAATGAGGTGAAGCGTTGGGCTTTTCCCGGAGATGTCCTTTGTGTTCTAATTCCTGCACGCTCTAAGCATCCCTTGGATGCAGCCCAGGGAGGTGCTGGCCAGGCGTCAGGAATTTGTGCCTTCCATTAATTCTTAATGCTGAGTTTGGAGCTGCATTTTGCTTTCAGATATGCTAATGCAAAGCTAAATGACTTCAGTGTAATTTGCAGTCTTGCAAGCAAGGCCTTAATTGGTCATTTAACATAAAAATTTGCAGTGAATCTCGTATTAAAATGCAGAGCAGCTGAGTAATGGACCATTTGGAGCTGAAAACATATTTTTCATATATACCTTCTCATGAAATACAGCTTGTTTGTGGTTTGATTGTAGTTTGGAATTAGTTGTTGCCTTTATCCATGTAAAACACGTTGGCAATTCTCAGGCTTTGACTCTGCTCCATGAATCGTGCTCTGCGTTCGATAGGAACAATAGGAATTGTGTGCAGTGCTGTGTGCAGAGCACAGTGTGCCTGTTTCCTCTATTGAAATAGTGTACTGAGTAATAGTGCTGAGAAATAGGAGAGGCCCGTGTTGGTTTGCTCTCAGCTGAGCCCACGCAGAGCTCAGCCATGCCAGGCTCTGAGCTCTGAGCTGTGGCAATCACTGCTCTTCTCGTTTTCTCTTCCCAAGGTGTGAACTCCTTCCTGGTTTTTATGGCCTACAAGGACAGACTTCAGTGCACTGACGCCCAGGTAGTGCAGACAGCTGCTGTGCAGTGGAAGCAGTGACCCCCAGTGAGCAGAATCCATCGTTGGTCTGATATTGGGCACCCGTTCTCTCTTGGCAGATGTATGAAATATTCTGCATTATTCGAGACCTGGGGGCCATAGCCCAAGTGCATGCTGAAAATGGAGACATCATTGAGGAGGTACTGTGCTGACGTTCATTCAGACTGAAGGCTGGTGGGAGTAATTTGGTGTGAGGCAAAACGCTGACTTAGCAGATGGGCCGTAGTGTCTGAGAGGAGGTGCCAGCATGCTTTGAGTGCTCATTTGATGCTGCAGAATCAATAGGAATATGTCCAAGTGAGACAGAGGAGCAGCTCTGGGCACTGTTGCTTCATAAAGACAATCAGTGTGCACTTTGCAGTGCATGCTGTCTGCTGGCATCACCTGGGTTGTTCAGTGTCAGGTTGTTTCTGACAGAAAGCTCACTGCATGGGCTGGCCTTGCTGCAGCAGGGCAGCCTCTGGTTGCTCGTTGCGCATTAACTGAGATGTGAAGAGGCTGGGGGCTGTGGCTGTCCCTGCATCCCACCCCTTCTCCCTCCTGCCCACACGCACCTGGTGGAGGGATTTGGCCTCCAGGACAATCTGCTTACCAAAGCTTTGGAGGGACGGGGCTGATAGGAAATCCTGTTGTGGCAGGAACAAGCAGGGGGATCTGGGGCCCTTGGTAATATCAGCAGCATCCTCCCAGTTCCACACACTCACCTGGGTTTCATCACAGAAATCTGCTAGTAGTTCCCAACAAGAGCTCTGAGGGGCTCCCTGAAGGCTGCCTGCCCACCCTCAGTGCTGTTTATTCCTCTGTTTATCTTGTATAGAACTGCTGTGTAGCCAGGTGTCTCCACTACTTGAGAAAGCTGAAGAGTTGTGTGTTATCTCAGTGATCTGCTTTACAGCTGAGAATATGTATCACCAAAACCAACAGTCAGTACCTTATTTGCTATTGCAAGCTATTCATTATCTTCCTTTTTCCCATTAGAAAAGGAAGTGCTAGGCAAACACTGCGAATGGGTGCTGCACAGCAGAATTAGACATGCAATTCCTTGAAGCTTACATTCAGAAAGCAGAATCCTGATCCTTGAAATTGGTTTATTTGAACCAAGAGGTTGGAGGGTCATTGCCACCCCGTGTTCTGTGGTGTCACATCGTTGTACTCCTCATTGCTGTCAGCCCTGGCTGCTCCTAGCACGGTGTCTGTGTCCCACTCTGCTTCAGACCGACTGCTTTCATTCATCTTTGTCCCCATAGGAGCAGAAGAGGCTGCTGGACATTGGGATCACTGGGCCAGAGGGGCACGTCCTGAGCCGCCCCGAGGAGGTAATGCTGCCCACATTTCCAAAGAACTCGTGGTTCCTGGGGGCTGCGAGGAGATGCCCCGTGCCTCTGTTTGCTTTTGTGCCCTGTGCCTCTGTTTTTGTGTCTGCAGGTCGAAGCAGAGGCCGTGTACCGTGCGATTACAATAGCAAAACAAGCCAACTGCCCCTTGTACATCACAAAAATAATGAGCAAAAGTGCAGCGGATGTGGTAGCTCAAGCAAAGAGAAAAGGTAAAGCTCTGTGTCATGTCTGCATGCTCCGTGAGCCCATTCACATACATCCAGGAATGCTACTCTAGCTGCAGAGCCTAAGAGCTCGTTATCACCCCAGTTCTCTCTCTAAGGGTGCTAACTCTTGGTGTTGGCTGTTCCTCACCATGTGCCAGAGCTCACTGCTCTGAGCTGCACGCAGAAGATGTGATGTACTTGAAACCTTGACACCTGAATCCCAGCAGATACAGCTGAAAAAAGAACAGAAAACAACTCCTAGTCATTTATCGTTGTCATTTATCATGAGCTAAATGAAAAGTGGAACTGGAGCAAACTAAATTCAAACCAGGGAGTGGTGGGAGAGCCAGCTGTGCACCTGCAGGGAGTGAGGAGCAGAGCGGTGTGCTGAGAGAGCAGCAGTGCATGGCCACCATCAGCACCAGCTGGGTACAGATAATAGAATCACAGAACCATTAATGCTGGAAAAGCCCTCTGAGACCCCCACCCCCCCCACAGTCCCACTGCCCACGTCCCTCAGTGCCACATCCCCGCAGATGAACACCTCCAGGGATGGGGACTGCCCACCTCTGGACAGCTGTGCCAGCGCCTGGCCGCTCTCTTTTTCCCAATACCCAACCCAAGGCTGCAGAGCAAGTTGCAGCTGGAAATGTATGTTTTTCTGAGGATGCATTCACAGCGTGCTACTTCCCAGACATCCGAGGTAATCAGAGGTTTTAGTCTGAGTTTAAAAAGCTGTAGTGCCCAGAACACCGGAGAGAAATGAAAGCGGCACGGTGAGCAGCGAGTGTGCTGTGAATGGAGGCTGAGGGCTCCCAGCACTGCGCTGACGCTGCTCTGCAGGCACTGTGGTGTACGGTGAGCCCATCACTGCCAGCCTGGGTGCCGACGGCTCGCACTACTGGAGCAAGAACTGGGCCAAGGCTGCGGCCTTCGTCACCTCACCCCCGCTCAGCCCCGACCCCACCACGCCGGAGCGCCTCTCCTCCCTGCTGTCCTGGTGAGTGCAGCCCGGGGCTCGCAGCCTGTGTGGGGATGTGGGCAGTGCTGGGGGCGTCGTAAGGCTGGGGGGTGGTCACAGCACAGCCTGTGCATCCACTGAGCTCCAGGGTGTTGATGTCAGATGAGGGGTTTTATCAGGAGCAGCACTGGGTGTTCACGAGGTTTGAAATCTGAACTGTAAGTACTGGGGGATGGTGCATGTGGGGTCGGTTGTTATCCCTGTGTCAGCACGAGCATCTCTGTGCACAGACACAACACCGACAGCCCTGCAGACGCAGGGATGGGTAAACAGGAAGGCATCTGTGCGTGCTCCACTGCAGCCAGGATGCAGCAGTGACCCTTTGGGGCTGGCTGCAGCCATGTGCAGTGCACATCCACACAGCACTGCGTAACCTGCAGTCTGTTATGGGACTGAGATGTGCTTGTTGGGTTGGACTGTATCCTTCCTTTTTGAAAGGTACTTTGGAGGTGCATCAGGATGTTTTTTCTTAGAACCATCTTCATATTAGAAGGGCTTGAGGTTCAAAGGGAAGGTACAGAGATCGAGATACTGAATAAATAGAAATAACAGCCAGTTTAGGAGAAAAGAGCAAAGGTGCTCATGAGGCTACGGCTGCTGCTACTGTGAGATTCCAGTGCTTAGTCTCTGTGAGTGAATAGAGGGCAGTACCTCTGTGTACCTCTTCACTTGACTTCCAGTGGGACGTAGGGGTCTAAGCCGCCTGCCTGTGAGCCTGCATTGATGAGATCAGTGTATATCGTACAATCACAGAACAGCTCGGGGTGGGGAAACCCTCCAAGATCTCCAAGTTCAACCCCAGCCTGCCCACACCGTGCACAGCGCCCACATCCCTCAGTCAGAGCTCAGGGCTGGGGGCTGTTGTGACACACAGCTCCCAGTGAGGTTCCCCAGCACGCAGCTCTGCAGGAAGGGCAGCTTTGCTGAGGAGCCCATTCAGAGCTGCTGTCTCTGCAGTGTCCTCTGACCGTGTCTCTTCCTGGGTGCAGCGGGGACCTGCAGGTGGCAGGCAGCGCTCACTGCACGTTCACCACCGCCCAGAAGGCCGTAGGGAAGGACAACTTCACCCTCATCCCCGAGGGGACGAATGGCATCGAGGAGCGGATGGCCATAATCTGGGAGAAGTGTGTGGTAGGTGCAGAAATACATAACCTGATTCCTTCCGAGTTGTGAATGCGAGTGGATGGGAGCGGCGCTCAAATCGGATGATGTCAGATCTCTCATTAATTCACATGAGCCCTGCAGTGTGACACTGTCTAGACGGCTCCTTCAAAAGAGCTCTGCGATGGAGGAGATGTGACACTGAGTGCCTTCAAAGCCTCTTCAAAGGCTGCAGTGGGGGAGCAGCCCCCCGCGCTGTGACTTGCAGTCAGGAGACAGCTCTCAGCGATGGCTGGAAGGGCTGAGATGCTGCTCTTTGCTGGAGCTCACAGGGGGGCTGGGGATGGAGCATTGCCACTGCTGCCCTGCACTGAGCGCAGTGCTCAGCCCTGGGCCGCTGCCCCCAGGAGCATCCCTGGGTCACAGTCTGAAGGAGGCTTTGTTCTTGAGGTGAGTACCACTTATCTTAAGATAATTTGAGAGAATTAAGATATTTAGGGCAATTAATTCTTAGGTTCACTTCTTGTTTTTCTGTATTGAGATATCCTTAGCCGTCTCTGGTGGATGTGAGACTCCCGTACAGGGAACTTGAGCCTGCAAAGGAAGCCCTTCTCAGAGACCTTTCCCAGTGCAGAAAGCAAACCTTCTAGTGCACCCTTAGCTCCCAGGGATGATTTGGTTGCGGTGGGACTGCTGTGCTGTCCTGTGTTGAACAGCCCTTCCCTCCTCCTGTTGCTCAGGTCTCAGGGAAGATGGATGAGAACGATTTTGTGGCAGTGACCAGCACAAACGCTGCCAAAATCTTTAACTGCTACCCCAGGAAGGGGCGAATTGCGGTGGGCTCTGACGCAGACTTGGTCTTGTGGAACCCCAAGGCTACAAAAATCATCTCAGCGAAAACCCACAACTTGGTAAGGTATCTTTTTAATTATTTTCCTGAGCTGATTTTACAGATGGAAAGGAGCGGCAAAGCAGTTTATTTCTTCAGATCAAAAAGATGAGGGCATTGGCCATGTGAGTGGAGGAGCAGGTGGAAAACCTTGCATTTCCTTTGTAAAATGCAAAATGTGTTGTTTGCTGCACTGCTGGGCAGCTGGGACTGGGCTGAGCCCAGTGACTGAGCCACGATGCCTTGCTGCCAGAACACAGAGCTTACATGGGTTGTGCTCACTGCAGAGCAGAGAAATTAAGGGCTGACCTCGTTCTGAGTATTAAACATCCTGGTTTGTTTCTTCCAGAATGTGGAGTACAACATATTTGAAGGCATGGAGTGTCATGGGGCTCCTGCTGTGGTCATCAGTCAGGGGAAAGTTGTTCTTGAGGACGGGAACCTGTTTGTCACCGAGGGCTCAGGTCGCTTCATTCCCAGAAAGACGTTCCCTGATTTTGTTTATAAAAGAATAAAGGCGAGGAACAGGGTAAGGAGAACTTCATTTGCAGTAATTACATCCTCTGCATTATTGCACTGTGGTCCCTGTTCTGCTCTGAGCGCTCGGGTGCAGCAGGAAGGAGAGCTGTGCTGATGGAATGTTATGCTGTGACACCCTGGTCAGTGTCATGGCAGGTACTGCTTACAATGCCTGCTTCAGTAGTGCAGCTGATCATACAGGCATTAGTATTATTCAACTATTACAAAGTTACAGAGCAAAAACACAACTTCTACCAACTCTGTTTGTTCTGGAGGTAGGAAGGAAGAATTTGGCTCTGCTTCTGTTGGAAATGGTGTTGCTGTATTACCACTCTGCAACTTGGCTGCTGCCTGCGACTGGTGGAGTGGTCGTAGTTACTGGAAATAACAGCAGCCCTTCCCAGTGTGCCAGCACAGCTCTCCTGGGAGACACAAAGATGTGCAAATGCATAGAATGCCCCTTAATGACTGCACCTTCCTCCCTTTTTCCTTGTGTTATTTCAGACCTTTTCATTATGCGCTGAAGAGCAAAACTCTCAAAACCCCAGGCACACCAACAGCACTGGCTGCTGCAGCAGTGCTCGCTCTGTGCACCTCTGTCCGTGCTGCAGTGCGCTCAGTGCAGGCAGTGGTGGCACAGCCCCCCAGCACCTCCATGCTGTGTTGTGCAGGGCTGGCAGTCAGGCTGTGTTTGTGTCAGTGCTGAAAGGAGACGCCCGGTGCCACCGCTTTGTCACAAAGGACAGACAGAGCTTGCTAAATACAAACGTCCTGAAGGTCCCCGGTCTCCCAGCTAGATGAAAATTGAGTGTCAGAGCCGGCGGCTGGTGATTCGTTTGTTAAGTTAATTCACTTGGGCAGCCTCACTGGGCACATTGCAAACAACCAGACAGCCGTCCCGTGTCTCCTGGTCTGTGGTTCAACCAGAGCTTCGGGAAAAAGCCAGGGTCAAAAGGAGCACAGCAAGATGCTGCTCAGAGCACTGTCTGCATGAGATAGGGGTTGGGATGAAGGTGATGTACCAGAAACCTTGCTGTGGAAAATGCTGTGTGCTTGTGGAGAACCCATCAGGCCCTGTGCTTTTAACTTGAAACCCTGCTCTTCTCATCTGCAAACCCTTTGTGTGCTGACCCTTTGGTTCTCAAATGGCTGTCAGTCATCAATCTGCTCTGCTGTGGAGACAACGCAGCCTTAAGCAGGACTGTGATGCATACTGGTACTGGGGCCATTGCTCCGCTCTGGCTTTGGCTCCTGATGCCCAAGAATACAGAGGTTGGTAGAACGCGGCACTGTGCTGCTCTGGCTGAGGTGTGTGCCTGTGGGATGCTCCCCCTGTGCTGCCCATTGCCTACCAGCAGCCTGGAGCCGTGTGCTGTGTCTGCTGCATGTGAAGGGAGAGGGGCTGGGGTGGGATGGAGCCTTGTGGGGGAGGGAGGGGATGGCCCACAGTGCCCAGGCTCACACCTCACACCCACATCCCTCCCGCAGCTGGCAGAGGTGCACGGTGTCCCACGGGGGCTGTATGACGGCCCGGTCCACGATGTTGTCCTCAGCACCAAAGCTGTGCCCACCATCGCGGCCTCCAGGATCGCAGGCTGTGCCAGCAAAGTGCCCGCCGTGCCCGTGCGCAACCTGCACCAGTCGGGGTTCAGCCTGTCGGGTAGGTGTGGGCAGGGCTCAGTGCGGATGTGTTTGTTTGTGCTGCTCCAGGGCTGAGTCACGCAGCTCTGTGCCCAGGAAGGAGCACTGATGCTGCCTCCGCCATCCTGTGCAGCCTCCTCACCTCCACCCCATCTTCCCTCTTCTCACACAAAGCCATTCCCCCTTCTCCTGCTGTCAGACCGTGCCTCTTTTAGAAGCCCCCTTAAAATACCACTTACAGTACTATGCTAACACAGCATCCAAATGGATTTAGAGGGAGATGTGGGCTGTTTTCCCAAAGGCCTTATGGCTGCATACTGATGCTCTGCTTTGCTCTCCCCAGGCTCTCAGGCTGATGACCACGTTGCCCGGCGCACAGCCCAGAAAATCATGGCGCCCCCGGGCGGGCGCTCCAACATCACCTCCCTGTCCTGATGCTGCTCCCATGGTGCTGGTGTGAAGGGCACGGCTGGTTCCCTCCAGCTCAGGGTGGAAGCGAGGTGGGCCCTGGGCACCTGATGAACCTTCTTCTCTTAGGTAGAAAGTAGACGAAGCCCACCCAGAGGTAGCTCACCCACCTGTGTCCCCCAGTCCCTAGAGCTCCCACTCTGTGTCTCTTACCTGGATCCTCAGAGCCCTTAGCATATGCATGCCCACACCTAGAGGTACATTTGATGTGTGTTCAGCAGTGCTGCTCGCTGCTCTGTGCCCAGGAAGGCCATGACAGTTTGTCTGGTGTTCATTCCTTTCTATCCCCATGGCTGCCCTTCTCTAAGGACTGTTAACTGATGAGCCCTGCCACAGTGCTGCGTGCTGGCAGCTGGCCCTGTGCTGGGGCTGTGCACAGGGGCTGCACGCCAGGCTGCTGTAGGCACGCTTTTTTAAAGGGTTATTTATATGGTTTTTCAAGTACTGAGTGTCAGTGAAGTCTTACAGCCAGTAAGAGACCCAGCTGAAGGCTGCTTGCATATGGCAGGCTCTTTTATAAAATCTGTGCGAGGCAGTTTGTTACATTGAAAGGTATGTACAGATAAGGTGAACCTCTGCCACAAATCTATGCATGTCCCTCTGCCCCCTGCCTCGCAGTTGGTTTTCTGTTCCTTGCATTGAATAAACTTTGTTGGAAATCCTGAAGTGATGGAAGCAGCTGACCTGCGTCACTTTGTGTTCATACCTCACCTTGCCACGTGCACTGGTTTGTAGAACAGCTGTGCCGGTCTGTGCTGTGTCTGTGGCTGTGCAGCTGCTGTGAGCTGAGCTGGGCTGCAGCTGTGTGCCTGAGCCCAAACACAGGGACCAGAGGCAGATGGGGTGTCTGGATCAAGCGTATATACTCAGATATATTTAAACAAATGACTTAATTTTGTTTAATGTCTCTCTTTTTTTTTTGCCTGCAAATGCAACAAGGCTATTGAAGATCCATTTACTTTCTTTGCAAGCAGCCGTTTTGCTTACATCTAAATAAAAGCATTTTTGAAAACTGCAGAAGCAATTCATAGGGAAAGCACTCACTCGAACTCATATCCCTCACCTGCACAATGCTGAAACCACAGCCAGCAAGAGCAAGGGCAGCAGTTACCCCAGCACAGGATGCCCCAGCCTTGCACAAGCTCCACACAGCTGTTCTTAACAAGGGAGTGCTGCAATCTGTGGCAGCTGGGCTCATTCATTTCAGGGTACCTGGGCATGGGCCCACCCCTCCCTTCTGCTCTCCCTGGCACAGCTGTGGGCAGCCCCTCTGCAGGAGGGACCTGGGGGAGCTGAAGCAGCACTGGCATGGGGCTACCTGGCCTTGGAAAGGGGCAGCAAGTTTAGAACCCTGCGCTTGTCTCAGCAAGATGTCTGAGCCCTGTCGTGAAGATCATCCATCTGCCAGTGTGTGCCTGCAGGGAGCAGCCCTGCCCGCAGCACTCAGCCTGCACAGCCCTAATTCCCTCTGACAGCACCGCAGGCTCTGGGTCAGACGCTGGCTCAGCCAGGCAGAGGGGAGCAGCTGAGTGCCATCGCTGTGCCTGGCACTGCAGGACAGGAGGACAGGGACACCTGTCTGACCCTGGGAAAGGCCCACAGGTGCGGTTTGCAGCCACTGAGGAGCAGCAATCCTGGCCCCTAAACCTTTGCATTAAGCACCACAACAGCATTCCTGCATTACCTTGCAGTGGGATGGATGGAGCATCCTGCGGTCCCGGGATGTCAGGCTGTGTTTCCAAGGAGCTTTCAGCATCTTGATGCATCTCGGGGTCAGCCTTCAGACCACAGCACAATGCAGCAATGCAGCACTGCAATGCACCGCAGGGACGGGCAGTGGCTGCACAAGACCCGAGAGCAAAGCCCTCAGGCTCTGTGTGGCAGGAACCCCCCATTAGGAAATACCTGGCACACGGAGCTGCTCGTTACACAGCTGTACCACAGTGCTGCCCATAGGAGCAGCGAATGCACAGCTGACTGATGGTGCATTTCAGCTGTGCTGCCAGTGCTGTGGTCTGGGTGCTAAACAGTGGAGGTCTGCAATGTGGAAGCAAGAACTGTATCCCAACATGCACTCTTTCCTGGACTCAGTGTTGTTCTCCTGCAGAGCAATAACCCAGAAATGACTGCCAAAACTTGGCAATGTTAAAAATACACATTTATTACTCCACATAGGCAATGGCTTCTTGCAGTGTCTGTAAAAACACAAATTTGTTGTCCTAATTGAAACTCTCCATGACACGGCAGTATTGCTATGCAATAAATTACAGAAATGTATTAACATAAAATACAAAGGTATACTTTACCTATCCAATTTACACTGAGATTAGTTAAAAATATTCCCTACCAAGGCATCAGGGTTTCGGCACTGTCCAACCTCAAGTTCATATTACCTCATTCAGATTACTCTTATTCTCTTCTCACCAAGGTGCAGAGTGATGAACTGGCAACAAAAGACCCATCCGGACCTGACCTGGCATTGGTTTCTACAAAAATTCCCAGCAAAGTCTGTGGAATTCAATGGAAACACTTGAAAATATGCAGTTCTGCAAAAGTCCCAAATACAACAGTGATAAGAAAAAAAATCTCATGGCAAGAATTTAAGGAGAATAATTCCTAGGTGATGTGGACGTCTCACAGCGGATAACGGCACTCCCTGTATAAATCTGTGATACAAAAGATACACGTATTTAAATAGTTATATACACCACCTTACTGTGGAGATGTAAAGCAGTGCCGGATCGGCTCCTGCAGGCTCTGCAGTGGGGTCAGAGAATGGCAGTGCCTCACCATCCCCGTGAGCTCTGCTCACAGCAGCACTGACCCAGGACGGACAGAAGGGCTCAGGGCTTTGGCAGTGCAGCCATCACAGCCCCTGTGCAGAGCACAGCCCCACAGCCCAGCACAGCTGCACACCCGGCCGAGACAACAGGGGACTGATGCGCTATTGCTGTGCCTCCTTCTCACCATTACTCCTTGCTTTCAGTTTCATCTCCTGCATCTATGCATAAGTAAACGGGCAGCAATAGAACCTGCTCTGTGGTGTGCAGCAGCAAAACACACATCCTCACACGGTTGCAAACGAGTACCCAAGTGATGCTGGACTCACAGTGTCCTGACTGCACCGTGCTCCCGAAGTCTGCCGTGTCCCCTGTCCTGGTGAGCAAGGTGCAGAACCAAAAGGTGCCGGGGCAGACACACACACACACATTCTGCAGCCTGTCCTCCCCACCTCTGTGCCCCACATCTCACGCTGGGGCAGCAGCCACGCGTTTCCCCCCAGCACTGTGGGCACTGCACGATGTACAGAGGGAAAGGGACAGACAGGGGGACAGGGCTGGGAGCGCCGGGGAAAGAGGCAGGCGTGTGGGCACAGCTGTGGGAGCAGGGCTGCAGGCAGCTCAGCCCAGAGAGCGGTGCTCAGATGGGCCACCCCGCAGGGCTTTGAGCAGAGCTACCCCCAGACATCACTGCACAGCCGGTGCTGAGCTCTGACCGCGCACCTCGAGCCTCTGCTGCCCCTCTGTGAACGTGTGGTTCTGCACAAACACAGTCACCTACTGATCTCCACATAAAACTGTGGAAAATTAATGTTTAGTGTCATCTTTCATATAAAATAATTGTAGACAGATAAGCTGATCTATTTCATCCACAGAAACTAAAAACGCAGCGGTGTTTGTCCTAAAAGAGTCTGCATCTGTTAAAACCTCTCCTATGCATTTCTGCGTTACAAATGTAGAACAAGGATGCAAACCCAGCCACCTCCTTGGCATCTGCCAGCAGACAGATCTCGCTAGCTCTAAGCTGAACGCCGCTGCCTCCAATCCGTGCAGCACAGCGGCTTTGTGTTGCAGCAGAACCCACGGCTCGTGTTTAACAACAGCAACCAAAAGCCACAACGCAGCAGATTGAGCAGCCGACGGAGTGAAGGCCTCTGAAAGCAGGAGAAAGGCAACCCCCAGAGCGGAGCGTCAGAGAGCTCCTGTCTTACTGAGAAGATAAAAACAGGTTTTGGTAAATTATGTACAGCACTCCTGCTTTACACTGAAAATAAAGAAAACCAAAGGGTAAATTAAGACACTGCCCTCTTTTCATGGCCAAGCAGTACTAGGAGGTCACAAACTGCTTCCAAAAAAACCTCAACCTGTGACAAAACGCATCCCCCAAACCTGGGCACACAGAGCCCAAATGGTCTGATCTGCCACACGGCTCCTGCCACTCACAGCGGCTGCATGAAGGAAGCAAGTATCTTAAATACACTTTACATATTGATCACGTATTTAATCATTACCCAGCCCCAGAAGTGCACAAAAAACATTTATGTACCCCAAGTCAGGAACGACACTCCGGCAGTGGTGAGGGGACAACAGTTTGCCTACGCCATCCCTGAGCTGCAGGGCCATCCCAGCTCCCAGACGTGGCTGCAGCAGGGGCAGCCCCAACTCAAGTGGGGGCACTCGGCCCCACGCAGCCCTCACTAGCAGCAGTGCCTCATGCAGCGTGAGCCACCCGTCCAGCCTTCCTCCTGCTGGCTTCCCGCGTTGCAGATGTAACTTCCCATGTCGCCATCGCACTGTATTAAAACCGACCAGCAATCTGACATTGTAAAAGAACAAGCAATGCAATAGGTCTCCTTCCTCCGACAAGTTGCATAGCGAGTATCCTTACCCACGGCAGCACCTCATTGAGTGGAACTGGTGCCTGTGTAAATCCAGAGCTCAGCTCTGTGAGAACTGTTTTGCTACAACGCTGCGGGACGAGCTGCTGTGCCAGGTGCTGCAGGGCGCTGCCAGAGGCACTCAGTGCAACCCAGGGCAGGCGGCAGCGGGCGGCAGCAGGGCGGCCTCAGCTTAGGTGCTGCCCGCCGAGGAGCACACGGAGCTGCACATGTTCAGGTTGGAGGTCTCAGCCTCAGCCTCTGTCTCAGCCTCAGCGCCGCTCTCGGGGGCAGACGTGGACTCGCCCGTCTGCTCCTGGCTCTTCTTCAGCCTGCGTGGGACAGAGAAGCACATATCACACAGCCACCCAGGTCAGGATGAGCCCCTGGCTGCCCCGGCACCCCCACAGCATCCCGCGGCAGGCCCAGGTAAGGCAAAGCAGGGGGGCTTCACACTGGTGGCCCCTCCAGCACACGGTGACATCCTTACACGGGTGGAAGTGTTGGCAGAACACACCACCAAGTTCCCAGATGCCCGAGCACAGCGTGTGGGCTTCAGTGCTCCAGCACCTGCGGGCACAGCAACGCAGCCACCCACACCACACGCAGCCCCCAGCACAGGGCTGACTGCTGTCCTGCTTCCAAACACAGCGGGGCCCCTTTGTGTGCTTGGACATGGCAAAGCAGCACTGAGCTGCACGATGAACTGCAGCATTCCTCCCGCATGCTTGTGACATGCAGAGAAAACGTGTCCGTGCTCCCTGCTCTCATCTCCCAAAGCAACGTTGTCCACAAGGGGGAGCTGAGGTGGTGCCAAACGGGAGCAGAGGGGTCATAGGGGAGCCGAGGAGGTGCCACATGTGCAGGTCAGACCCCCGCAGTCTCTCTGCAGCTAGCCCCCTGCTAGGTGGTGCTCCAGGTCCTCAGGTCTGGCACCGATATTGTGGAAAAGCCAGGAAAAGAACTTTCCCCAAAACAGCCCCCACTTACTTCTCTCTGTTAAAGATGACAAAGTCTTGCTGGATAGCTTCAAGGCATTCTTGGAGATAGTCATTTTCCTGTTGAAGAACAGAAAAGAACCACACGTGTGTGAGAAGTCCCATTTGCACATCTGCTTCCTATAGCACTGCACTGCCCCAACCAGCACACAGCAGCCACCAGAAAGTGCAGCCTCAGCAGATGAAGGAAACAGCACAACTGATTGCCTTGTGGCTTTTCTGGCATGTTTCACCTGTGGCGTGCAGAGACCCTGCAGCCAGGGCTGGGCTCCCACCCCATGCTAACTTGTGCAGTGAGCATGCCAGCTGAGGGTTGTGGCAGACATAACAGAAGCCCTGAGCCTCTCCCAGAGGCACTTCCAAGCCTGTTCATTCTGTTTTCTCCCTCCCAGTGCCCTGCAGAGCTGTGAGGTCGTGGTGACACCAGGCCATGCACCCAAACATGGAATGGGCACAGTGGGTGCTTCTGTGTGGCCATCATCCAGCTCTCAGACAAACCACAATAGCACAGGCCTCACCCTCAGCTGCTGGGCAATAAGACAGTGCTTCTCAGAAGGGCCACAACCAGCTGGATGGTTTGCTAGTTTTACCCTTGATCATTATGCCTACACCTCTATCTGTCAA